ATGCTGTATGGTTGCATCTTCAAGTTTGTTTGTTTTTAATATCAAATTAAGAATAATTTTTTATTAAATATATTATGCAACATGTTGTATCAAATGATATACCAATCACTTTCCATTTCTATCATAAATGTAAAAATGAATATGTTAATGAAAGTAACATTCGCCAAAAAACACAGTTGGTACTGACTTAACAGCAAAAGCTATAAGCATTTACCAGCAATATAGTTCAAATTTTAAATAAGTGTTTTTCCTTTTTTCCCATAACTTCAAATAAGTTTATTTGCTTATAACAAGGTTATGCTAATTTATGATTCTTATAAATAAAAGACACTCAAGTATTATAATACTTTTTCTAGTGGAGTAATTTGATGGGACAGTGGTCAGTATACACTCTGTTTTAACATATCACATAATATATTTATTAAAAAATTATTATTTTTAGGTTTAAAATCAAAGGCCGTAAGTTTGAAAATACAATCATATACACAAGATGTAAAAACCGACTGAATCAATTATATTTATATTATATTTTTAATGGTTCAATCAGATGTGTATCAACCAAGTATGTATCCATTAATAATTTTTCAATTTGATGAGATATATTTTTTTTTTTTTCTTTTAACTACTTGATTATATGTTTGCTTACATGAAATGGCTAAAACTATTTGGATGTGAATAATATATGAAGTTGTTATGGTTCCAGTAACTTCATAGCAAATTTTTTTTGTTAATTTTTCCATATTTGAGAAGATATCAAGTATAGCATTGAGGAAGATTATGCTTGTATTTTTTTTATCAACAAAAAACATCACCATATAATTGTTAATAAACATCAAAAAGTAAAAACTATAGTAGAGAAGAAATGGAGCCAAGTCAAGATGCTTACAAGAAACAAAACTTGATAGAAAGGAACCTTAGTGTAGATGACCGATGAAGTTGTTTAATCTAAAATGATCAATAGCGGGCGTCATTGCAGTATTGAATTATTTGCTTAGCATTGTTTTTCAATTCTATTTTTTGTAACCCATTGGACACGCCTGCCATTAATTATCTCATTAGCTCGGATGGGACCTAAACGTGTTTTTTCCGCACCCCATTGCATACGCCTATATGAAATTTCCATTTTCCTTTTCATTGCTTCCAATTATTTTCAATGAATTATTTTGTATTTAATTATTCTTGACTTTTCAACCTTTTATTCTAGTATTTTTCGTATGCTTTAGTGCTAAGCAATAACGTCACTATTCTATATATAATCCATATCCTGATTCGATTATTAAAAAAAAAAATTTACTTGAATTAATATCGTATAATTTAAAAATATTTGAGATGGAATGTAAATTTCTTAGAATTTTTTTCTTCCCTGATCCGAAGATCTCCAGAAAGTATAAGCAACAAATGATGTGAACACCAGTTTAAACATTAAGGAGCTTGAGCTTAATCCACTAATTAATTTCGCCATTTACTTCTCCAATAGCTCGATCAGGTGGGACCTAACATTAATCTTTTCACCCCCTTGCATACGCTTATTTTAGTCTTTTTCTTCACTTTGAAATTTCTTTAGATCTCTCTTTTTTGTTATGGAGTTATTAAGTTCTGCAAAAAAAGATGCTAGACATGCTTTTTCCACATCCCATTGCATACGTCTATATGAAATTTCCTTTTTCCATTTCCTTTGCTTTCAATTGTTTTCTATGAATTATTTCATATCCAATTATTCTTGACTTTCAATCTTCTGTTCTAGTATCTTGCACACGCGTCAATGCTAAGCAATAATGTCACTGTTAAATAGTCCATACTTTGTGCAATACCAATAGAGCATAACAATAGTTCATTTGATTTAATATTACATTAATTGATAATATTTGAGATGGAATGTAAATCTCAAAAGAATATTTTGTTTTCTGTTATCTGAAGATCTCAAAGAAATATATAAGCAACAAAACTTTGTAAACACCATCAGTTTAAAAATGAGGAGCTTGAGCTTCATCCATTAATTATTTTTAAGTCTTCAAGCTCAATTATAAATATCAGAATAAATCCAAATTTATTTGCAGGAGTAAAGACATTTTCATTCGGCTGTAAATTTTCCACTGGTTTCCATAGACGTTTACTGTGTAAACATTCCATGTAATTTTAGTAAAATAAATTTATTAATTTCTGTGTTCAACATTATACTATTTTATAATAGATTTTTCAATCTATGTCTTTATGGCAAGGTTAATAATGTAATTAACATACCTTTTAATTACTAAGTTGCATAGAAAACTAAAAAATGAATATTAATTTTAACATCAATATCATGTGAATTAATTTAATTAGTTAGTTGTAGAAATTAAAGTCAAACTTTGTTTTTTCTATATAACTTAATTGTTAAAGGGTTTTTTTAACTTATGTTTTAATGGTATAGGTTAATAGTCTTGAAAAAATAAATATGGATATTTAATTTATCATTTGTCCAATTTAATTTATCCAAGTGACAATAACTCTAAAATTAATATCAACTTTTACATTCTTTTATCATATTTATGATAAAAAAGTACTCTTAACTTGTGTCCTATGAATGTAGATAAGAAGAATTCATTGTTAAAATATATATATTAAATACATTCTTAAAGGCACTTTTTAGAAATTTTATAATTAAGAGTTTCATTAAAAGCTCATATTTTATGTTACCAAGATAATTACAATGTGTATTAAGTAGACACTTATCCATATGTAGTTGGAAATAAGGATGAACTTTTATTAATTCATTATTACATCCCTAATTACTGGAGAGAAAAAAAGGTCAATTACAACTGAATGGATAGAGTAATTAGATGTATAAATGTTCATATGATACTAAAGTGAACAATTACAGATATTGTTATTTTCTTGCCGGTCTTGTGTTTAGAATTCAATCTTCATTATAGGAAGCAGTGTTGTCAATAGCGGCCATAGCGGCCGCTATAGCGGCATAGCGTAGCGGCCAGCTATGACCGCTATGAAAATTTCCCATAGCGTAGCGTTTTGTTGATAGCGGCCGCTATTTGTATAGCGGATGGCGCACATAGTGGCTGCTATGTAATTTTTTGATTGTTTTGATCAAATTACCATGTTAACCCCCATTAAAAGCTTTAAATTAAAAATTTTTAAGGTTAATTTTGTCTTTTCAACTTTTCTACTTATAAATTAAAGAAAGAAAACCCTAAAAGCTAAAACTCATTGCATCTTCTGGATTCTGGTCTCATCCTGCGCACCCATCTGGTATCATCCCGCCACATCTGGTCTTCCAACTCCTCCCAACTCTCCTCTCGACTCTCCTCTACACTTTGCGCACCATCGGCCATAGCTTGCAACTCTCCTTTCGACTCTCCTCTTAGTCTCCATCGGCCATAGCTTGCAACTTTGACAGAGGTTACCCCTTCACACCTCCTGTAACTGGAGGGACAGCGATTGAGCACTGATCTGCAGTTCTGCACACCAGATCGTCTCCAATTTCAGGTAATCTTTCAAGTAAGCACTAATCTTATTACCGGACAGTGATTAAGCATGTTATAATTTTTTTTTTTTGGCTTGGTTTTACTTCTGCTACTCTGCAAATGCCGTCTCTCTCTTTTTTCTTTTTTCTTTTTGATACCAGAACAAAAAGTTGGAATTAGAAATAGAAAGACATGAAAGCATTTTGCATTTTTTTTTCTTTGCTTGATTCTACTTCAGCAAGTGCGCCTATGGATTTTTTTTTTCTGTATTGAAGCAAGTTTATA